AAAGCTTCAGTTTTAGTTTTGCTTGGGCACATGGTATTTAATGGGCCTGGGTGTATGTGTGTGTCAGAGTTCTTAAGGGTTTTGAAACATTTGACATTGCTGAGGCAGCACTTCCTCTGAGTCCTCTTATTTAGTAAAAGCGAAAAAAAAAAAAAAATAACACACCAAAACTCCAGCCAAATTGAAATTGTCTCTGTGTATCTCTGCTTCTCGAGATAAGCCTGAATGGGATGCTAGGAGTCATTATACATGGAATGTGCGGTTGAATAAAAGTATTACAGAAAAATACCAACCCTGTTATCTTAAGTGTGAACAATAAACTGTCCTTTCTTTGTTTTCAGAAGACAGTAAAGGCCATTAAAAAACACCCAAGCATCTAGTGAAGTGCTCTATAACTCTTTTGTACTATTTTTTAAAAACCTTTGCTGTGTGATAGCAATTTTTCTTTTTAAAGTAGATTTGGGGCTCCAGACCAAGTTTTACAAGTTTTTGTTAAGTAAGCAAAACCCAGCGTATCACATGAAGTATTTATAAAAGAAAGAGTTTCCATGAGATACTGTCTTTTCTGAAACATCCATTTTTTTTTATCCTTTGGATGACAAGTGAGAAGCAATCAAGTGTCACACTCTGAGGAGATGGGTAAAAAGGCCACCTCCAAACACAAGACCTCTTTTATCCCCACATGGCCATCAGCTGGCTGGGCATATGTGGCTCTTACGTCCCATCTCTGAGCCTCTGTCTTCTTACCCCCTACATGGGGTGACCCCTTCTCCCTTCGAGTCTCTTCAATTTTGTATTCTCTTATAATATTGTAGCCCGTTGTTCTAAGCGTGACAATAGGTACACACATGTACCCAACCTGTTGCCAAGCGATGACTGAGAGTAAATCAAGCGTGTCTCATACCCTCACTTTGTAATCCTCCGGGGTGCGTCCATCTTTGTGACTAACTCAGGATACTTTCCAACACATCAGATGGCGGACTAACTGTATACACAAAGTTGGTCCAAGTGCTCCCCTCAGGACCTCAGGTCCCTGTTGGAAACTGTTTAAATTCTTGTCTGACCTGATGCTGCGCTGAGTCAAAGCCCTCGGAGTTCTCAGGATTAGGGGAATCTTGTCACAGGGATCACCAGAGACTCCCTTTTCCTTTGTGCACAGTGGAGACCAACACTCTTCCCAGCCTAATGCCAAACAGTCCAGCCACAGCCTTACCTCTGATTCACAATGACCCAAAGGCACCGCCCTCCGCTTGCTGCGTGGAGCTCTCTGCCTCACCGCTTTGGGTTCTGCCCTTCTGAACATCAGGATTTTGCTGGATCATTTAATGCTTATTGTGACTTGAGATCATGTCTCTACTGGATTGTGATCTCCAAAAGGGAGCCCTCAGATTCAAAGAAGAAAAAGAAGAAATTATTTATCCTCTTTTAAGTAATCAGAATGCTGGACCTGGAGTTTTGGCTATATTTAATCATTAGTTTCTATTTTAAAACTTTAATTATTTACAATTTTTTCTTGATTTTTTTCATGTTGATTTGTCCACTGAAAATATATTCACATCGGGACCAAGGGAAAGAGCCAGAGATGAGTGTATCTCAATCAGAAATGATATTACAAATAGAATTATAAAAGTATCTATCATCACCTGGTTTTCTCTTTCCTGGGGGTTTCGGTACTTAGGCATTAAATGCTATATTGATAGACTAAGTTTTCCAGAGGTTTTTGTTTTTAAGAAAGAAAACAATGTAAATGAAAGGATAAATAAATACTTTCTAGACCTCCATTCTTTCTTTCTGCCTACTACCCTGATTTTCTTTTTTAAAGGATAATAAAAGTTTGTAAATTTTTGTAGGGTAAAATGAAAAGACATGGTAGGTGGACTAGAGAGAAAGCTCTGAAATCAGACACTCAAGTTCACATCCTTGGTTCTGTAATTACTAAGTGGGTCCTGGACAAGTTACTCTTCAACCTTCAGACTTCACCTCTAAAGCTGGAGTTATATCTTAAATTTGTTACGAGTATTAATTTAATGCATTTAAAGTGATGACACAGAGCGTGGCACATAATACATATTCAGAAGCGACACATAAATACTTAGAAAATGTGGCTAAAATGCAGCTCAGAAGCAGTGGCAGAGAGAGGATTTCATCAAGAGTGGATGGGTATTAGCAGAGCCCCTTTGATTTCATGTTTACAAGGAAGAAAGGGAAGTGTATCCTGCCAGTCAGTTGTATTTTATTGAATTGGTTCTCTTGTTACCCACCCCCTCCATTTCAGTGTGTCACATGCTTCGAACAACTTTGTGCCCTAAAACCAAGAGTCCAGACATTTTCAGCAAACCGTTGGATGATGGTCCTGCGCTGGTGACTAGTTCTTATTGTGAGCCGCCAGCCCCAATGCTTTTCAAAGCGCGGCATGCCGTGCCCTGGCTCTGCTTAGCCTGGGAGGTACCTGGCCTGACTGCCAAGAGCTGAGTGGACTGCCAGGCGTCAGGCAGCAGAGCTGAGCAAGAGAGAGCCAAGATAAGATAAAGTCAGTGGGGAATCTAGGCTGGCATAAGACTGGTCACTGGCAAGAGTCTACCACAAAGAGGCTCCATAATAGGTGGGGGGGAGGATAGGTAGGCATCAGGGACCCCAGGCAGATAACAGAAGTCCTGGGGAGAAAGGAGCCCTGGAGGGAGGACGTGAGTCAGTGGTTGGAGAGACTGAAGTCCAGGCGAGGATCCATGATGGCTCCTGGCGTCCATCTAGAAAGGAGAGTTAAGTGACATGGGCTTTAAGCCCATATTGACTTTTCATCTGCTGGAGCGCCCTCTTCTCCTCTCCCAGTTTATGGGCCTGGGGCCTGGGGAGTCCTCTGTGCCTTAAAGGGCTGCTTCTCATGCTTGAATGCTCACAGGAGATACAACCCCTGAGCTACAATGCCAGTGCTCCCTTAGTAAATCTGGGTCCGGCTCAACGGGCTGCGTTTCTAACAAGCTCCCCAGAAATACAGATACTGCTGGTCCAGCGGCCATGATTTAAGGGGCAAAGCCTTAAAAGACTGTTGCTGCTTGCTCTTGCTAAATCCGCAGGTCTTCTGTTCTCTCTCCTGTCAGGGCGGCTTCCTCAGGGCACAGATGAGAAGCACATTGCTGGCTGGTTCAATACCGAGCCCCAGCAGCTGGACTTTTGATCAGACTGGAGCCTTGACAACCCTCATCTTTTTTCTTCTGTGGCAAAGCAGATCCTCACTGAATTTAATATTGCTAGCAAAACCACGCTGAAGGCCTGGGGAATTCGGCAGTCTCTGAGGCAATTGTGTTTCCTGGGCAGAAGTGTGGCCCTGGAATGCTTGTCCATCACTCTGCCTGGTCAGGGGCTTCGGGAGAAGCCAGGAGGGCCTTGACCTTAAAAAAAAAAATGCCTGATTGTTTTTTTCCCCCAGGTAAAATACAGAATTTGTCAATTTATGCCACTTTTATCTAAGGGAACCTTTTCCTGAAACCTTTGTTTTTATTCTGCGATTATCTTTGAATGATCTAAAATAAGGATACATCCCTGTTACTGAGCATAGGAAAGAAGGTGAAGGGATTAGTCAAAGGACATATTCGTGGGCCTCCTTTTCAATCCTCAAGGCGACTGATTAGGAGCAAAGGTTGGGTCTGTGATCCAGAAATATAGTGAAGATGCCCAAGTCCAGTATCTAAGTCCCATATGCACGGCGGTCTTCCACAAATGTGACCCCATTGATGCTCATGCATTTGTCGCAGGTTCTTGAGAGAACGTGGTATAGTTAATACGTGCCTGTCCTTATCAGAAAGACTTCTAAACTCAAATAGTGAAAAATAAATTAGAAAGCATTATCTTAATTCAAAATGTAATTTTCAAATTGATAGAATGTGGTGTCATGGCTCTTTCCCTCAGCAAGTGTCCCTGGTCATATCTTTAGAAGCCAATGTGCATTTATCTGCAAATTTAGTATGTTATTTTCTAAAGATTCAAGATGCTTTCTGGATTTAATTTTTGCCAGATTATCTTCAAAACTAAAGCTGAATTGTAAATGAAGCCGCTTTGTTAAGAAAAACAAAGAGTAAGGCTGTGGGTTTGTGAAATTGGAGACCAAATTGGTATTCCAAACCCAAACTCTGTTGCTCCTATCTCATTAAAAAGCATCGGGCAGACATTTAAAGATTTTTATACATTTTAATTCAGCTGGTCACTTGATTTAAAACTACATTGATTTTTTTTTTCTAATTTGTTCTTGGCCATGCATATCATGTTAAATATCAAAATGAATCTGAAACTCTTTGAGGCTGTATCACAGGGTATTACATTCTTGGAGGGACTTTCTTTCCCCCATGCTAATTTTCATCATTTTGCTGTCGCTTTCATTTCCCCTTGAGCTTTAGCTTTTAGGGATTATTATTCATGGTTTTCAGCATCTACCTCGATCATTAAACAATTAAACTTTTATCAGGCAGAGCGGTAAGAGCCTCTGTGGCTAATGATGAGGTTGGAAACTCCCCTGTACAACCTGTTGGCTCATCTTGGAAGAAGAGTGTCCTGCCAAATTATCTTTATGTGCTCATGAATAATATCCTAACAAGGATGGTTGGAGAGCCGAGCACAAAGGGCAGTTCTAATGGAAAGAGTGAGAGTAAAATTCACCTTGTAAAACATTATAATGCCTCGACAGGATGCTAGCTCTTCTTGCTGCTAAATTGGGTGCACTTACATTAGCAGCCCCTGTAGCTATCTGCTACTCTACAGAATGAACTAGGAGAGAAAGAATATACCTTTCAGGATTTAGAATTCTTCATATGACCATAAATATCTGCAGAGAAAAGATCCATTTAAAGCAGAGTTCCTGGTACATTAACTGGGTGGATTGGTCTTGAATGTAAAAGTGGTATGAGCAGGCAGGAAGTGATAGTCTCTATCTACCTCTTTTAATTCTTAGCTTTAGACTGAACTTTGAGGTAACCAGTATTTTTGCTGTTGATGTTTCCCAAATGCAGAGTTTCAGAGAGGGATATCAGGCCTTTAGGGTGAAGATACATCGATATTAGACCAGGAATCATTGGCAGTGACTTTTGGGCACAAAAAATTGGAAAATTGTACAACTGCGAAGGTTGATCATGGAAATCAAAGAGGAAGGCCCGTCAGAGGAAGGCCAGCACTTTCTTCCCACACCCCAGGCAAATGACACCGGGGACTTTCAGTTGACAAGTAAGTATGCGCACATCCCTTCTTAGTACTCTCTGACAATGCGCATTGTGTTAACCAAACACACACAGGCATGTGTACTCCCAGAAACTGGGGGTCTAACAAATGGCATGAGATTAATTTTTTTCCTTTGCACTACTTATTTTGGTGTTGTGAGTCTATGAAACACTTCTTTTCTCTTTTAGAGAGAGAAAGGAAGGAAGAGAGAGATAGAGAGATATCTATTTGTTCTCCTTATTTATGCATTCTTTGGTTGCTTCTTGTATGTGCCCTGACCAGGGATGGAACCTGCAACCGTGGTGCATGGGGACAACGCTCTAACCAGCTGAGCTACCCAGCCAGGACCGCTTCTTTATCTTTTATCATTTTCTACGAGTTAGATGATAGTCCAGGGAACCACTACAAATCAGATGGTGGAGTCAGAGTTCTTGAATGTGTATTAAGACTCCAACATATACTTTTTAAGTACACCTTCTATTTAGCTTTTATATGATCTCATATGGAATTGTTTTTTGGAACATAGATATTTTTTCTTTAAAACCAAAGGCATGTAGCTGGAAAGCATTAGGGCAAAACGGTTACATTGCTGTCATTGCCCTACCTGAGAGCACCGAGCAACATCAGCAGAGCAGGCTTGGAGATTTGGGCACAATTTACATCTGAACATTGCAACTGGGATTTGTGCTACTCACATAATTGAAATCATTGGAAGAATTTTATGTTTCTCTCTTGTGTTTAAAATTCTAGGGTTTGGGTTTTACTGCTTAGCATGAATTGTGTCTTTTTCTTTTCGTTTCAGAGGATTCCTGTTGCCCAGTTATTAACACTGGCAAATATATGCCTAACCTCTCATTTAGTTTACATTATAAAAATAATCTTTAGAAAATGGTATTGGATGCATTTTCTGAGAAATTTGGTTGTCAGAGTTTACAGTAGAGTTAATTGTTAATAACCTTTTAAAAAATCCACACTGTTCGAAACACACAAAGGCCAACCTAATGATTGTCATTCTGAGCTCTCTGGGAAAGTATAAAATTGTTAACCACAGCATTGTTAAATGTCAGCAGAAGAAAAAAATAAAATGGTTACCATGCAAACACTGTGAACTCTTTAAATTAAAAAAAAAAAGAATGATTTTTATACAAAGAGCTGGTTCTAACAATATATTAGTGACCAGATGTTATTAAATTTAAATTGTATCTGATGAATCCACCAGTAAAAATAAACAAGAAAAGGATTTGTATAAAATTCTTACACTTACTGCCAAATGGTTTGCTTTTCCATAAGTTTAGTTTTGTTTCTTCGGCCCCCCATGAAGGGTAACAAATGGCGTCCCAGTCCTCACCCACTCTCCTTCAGGAAGCCCTTGTGCTGTGTGTGGCCTTCAGGCATCCGCCTGTCCATTGTCACTTACCACAGCCTGGTGTACCCATTTCCTTATCTTTGTCCTCAGACTTGCTTTCCCTTCCACTTCATCCTAGATCAATGACCATGCTATTAGATTTTTAAAAAATCTCTAGCGAAAGAAATGGAAGCCTTTAATAGAATGTTGATTTGAGCTAGCTATCAATAGGTTGGTAGCAGAATACCCATGATAAAGCATGATATCCTTTATAATATAACTAGAGATATCCCTTTAATTAATAATTTACTATGTATAGCAGATTGGAGTGGTTTGGGGAAAAAAACAACGATTCCATATGGAAGAGCACTTTGGAGAGGGGGTCCCTCTTTGAAGGTTCCATCCTGTCTCCATGCATCCAAAAGAAACACACAGTTGGAAAATGTTTTATATTTGTTGCAGCTTACAAAAACAATATTTCTAAGGTTCTTTATGGCCATGGAGCAAAACAGATCAGTCGAATCTTTAGTCATATCTAGTTCTGCTACAGATGTGTGTATCTGTATGATGAGAACCCACTGCTTATAAGTTGGATCAACTGAGCTTATTCATTCTGCCCGATAATGTGTTAATATATTCTGGGCAGCATGAAACATACTAATATTCAGTGGCATATTTTTGATAGTGAGTTAAATATCTTTAATCTGAGTTCTTACCATTTGTTTGTAGGTATTCAGAAGTCACCCAATGAACCACAGTTGGAATTTATCCTTGGTAAGAATCCCATCTTGTTTTTATCAATAAATATAATAATTTATCTATGAAGCTTTGCAAGTTGTAGATACATTATTTATATCTTTATATATTTTACAATCTTTTATGAACATTGTTCGGTGCAATTTTTTTCTGTAAGGTAAGTGCTGTTTTATGAATTTTTATGTTAAGAATCTGAGCCAAGGACTGTGTTGGTTCCCTACCCCCAAGGACTTAGGGTTCAGCGGTGACAAAGGTGCACTTCTCAACCAAGTCTGGAGACAACAAATACAGGGCCCAGAACTGATTCTCACACAGTGACTGGGTTTCATTGCTAATCAACATTTCTGGGAATTCACGTGTCCGTTTCCTGACTCCCTGGGCTGGAGACTAACCCCATGTGGAGTTTTCCTGTATGAGACTTACAAGGTTCTTGTCCCTGCCGCTCTCACTTGCTCTTCTACCTTGAAGATGGAATTATGCTTTCATTTTGCAGCATAATTTATTGAGAAAATAGTTATATATAATTTTGGTTCTAATAGCTTGTTTTCTCTTTCTAAAAGACTTTGTTTTAAGAGTGGTTTTAGGTTCACTGCAAAATTAGAGATTTCCCATATACCCCCTACCTCCACACATGCATAGCCTCCCTCATTTTCAACATCCCTTGCCAGAGTGGTACATGTGTTAGTGTTGATGAACCTACATTGACACATCATTATCACCCCAAGTCTGTAGGTTGCATTAGGATTCTCTTTTGGTATTTCACATTCTATGGGCTTCCATCATTATAGTATCATACAGAGTATTTTTACTGCTTTCATAATCCCCTGTGCCCCACCCAGTCTTCCTTCTTCCTCCCCTAATCCCCACTCACCCCTGATCTTTATTTCTGTCTCCATAGTTTTACCTTTTTCAGAAGGTCAGATAGTTAGAATCATAAAGCATGTAGTCCTTTCAGATTGGCTTCTTTTACTTAATTATATTGCATTTAAGTTTCCTCTATGTATTTTCATGCCTTGGTAGCTCATTTCTTTTTAGCACTGAATAATATTTCATTTTCTGGATGCACCACAGTTTATTTACCTATTTGCCTCCTGAAGGACATCTTGGTTTCTTCCAAGTTTTGGCAAATATGAATAAAGCTGCTACAGACATCTTGTGCAAGTTTTTGTGTAGACGTAACTTTTCAACACCTTTGGGTAAAGGCCAAGGCACTCAGTTAATGGATCATATAGTAAGAATGTATTTAGTTTTGTAAGAAATTGTCACACTGTCTTTGGAGCGGCTATATACCATTTCACATTCCCAACAACGTATGAGTTCCCATTACTCCGCAGCCTCACCAGCGGTCAGTATTGTCAGTATTCCTGATCGTGGTATAATTTATTTTTAATATTTAATTTTTATTACATATGTAGCTAAAGGGTGCTGTCAGGTAAGAATTCTAGATTTTTTTCTTCATGTTTTCTCAAGTATCGGGAAACAGAAATGGGAAAACTCAAGAAGATACTGTGGTCATACCAATCAAGTTGTACTTTTTCCCCCCCTAGAGTTCTCAGACATAGAAAGCACTCATTTTCAGAATGGGAGCAAAGGAGCCAAGGAGACCTGGGTACCTCTTGACTCACTGACTCTAACTCTTACTCCTTGAGTCTTCATCTAACCATCTTTTATTTTTAATGAAAAAAAAAACATTTTTTTAAATTTCCATTTTTGATCGGCCATCTGAAAAGTGATTTGTTTGAGTGATTGGAGTGTATTTCAAAGCACAGATAGAGTCTTCTTATTTGCGTCCTGGAGCATGGGGGTAACCTAATGGGGGCAGAAGCCGTCGGAGTGAGGAGGGTGTCAGGTCAACCCGGGGACCGGCTTTCCCGAGGCCAGATACCCATCCTCTATTTCGATCAAAGCAACCTGTCTGGTTCGAAGGCCTAACTGTGCTCTTCGTTTTGAAAGTCCAGTGAAGGTTAGTAACAAAAATGCTGCTGTCACTGGCATTTCTGGCTTTGGGTCATAGATCTAAGAGATGAGCAGCTGTGAGAATTGATTCATAATGATCATCCTCCCATTAAAAAAAAAGACAAACTTCAAATACCTTTTTTATGTTTATCCAAAAAATACAATAGATAATTTTATCTTATCACAGGGCAAGAAATGCCTAGCAATAAAACAAAAGAAAGTTATTTACAGTCTTCAGGGAAGTGCATTGTTGATCTTGAAAGGTACATTCCCTAAATTCTTTGTTATGTCTCTTAGCACTTTAACATCCTCAACTGTATTATTTACTGAAAAAAAGAAAAAAGCTTTTAAACTACTCTTTCAAGGACACTATAGGTTTTACTGTACATTTTTGTCACTTTTTTTCTTTAATTCTTTTAATCCCACAAATTCTTCAGCACTTCACCCATTATATAGTTCACTTCATTTCATAAGGAATAATGAGAGAATAGTAATTACTTAAATATTTCTATAATTGTTGGAGAATGTGCATATTTATTTCATTAGAAAAAAACCCTTAACATCTTAAAACAAAAAATAATTTCAGCAAAAATAGAATAAACAAATTAGAGAGTTTTTCCTCTTAATTTTCCAACTAAATTTTTGATATTTGATTCTTGAGTATTTACCAAAGTATTAAAATAAACTGAGAACTCCAATGGCTTTGCCTTTTACATTTAGAAAATAGCTCCGCTGATTTTGCCAGGTGCCATTTTGCTTTGAATAAGTTTGTTTCTATTGAGGACTTGTTTCTGCCTTGTCTGCATGCCACTATAAAAATCGCTCTCTTGCTGAAGTTCTCCTGCCAAATCTTTATTTGACTAAATGAAGTAGGAGATGCTTAGTCAATTGAGCAAGCTAATTGGCTAAAAATATCTTGCTATCCCAAGATAAGTATGTACTAAAACAGTGAGTATCTTATGTCCATTTTCAACTACATTTCTAATGGTTGGCTGCATTTAAATGATATAATTCACCCTACAATTGCAACTTGACTTCCACATATCTTTCATTGTTTCATTGGAGTGTATGGAAACCCTGGTTATTTTCACAAAGGGAGAAATCATTAAAAACCCAGGAGAATGCTTATTTTCATTTTAACAAAGCTGGCATTTAAGAAGAGAAATCATTTCTTAAAATCTGCATGCATTTCTTTCTTGAAACCATTGTTAGAAATGTATAGAGAAGACTAATACTGACAATGATATAAAAGAAATTGCTATGAACTGTTTCTCAAGTTTACTGCCCTGATTATGTTTAAAATGTTCATGGTCCTGTGCCTCCATTTACTATCTCCAGGGTCAATAGAAAGTTTATAAGAATGTGGACATCACATATATCATACATTCAAAACAATAGGCAGTAAGGTGATGTGTACCGCCCTAGAGTTCAATGATTAAAATTCAGTTTTTTTTCACAGTATGTCATGCTATAATGACAAGATGTCCTCAGGTAGGTTATTTCAAATATTCGAGTGACTTTAAATAAGGAAGGGTTATCCTCCTTTGGTTGTTAAGGCTTTGTCCAAGAAAGTGCTGATTTAAACACTCTCTTCTTGCCTTGGATCACATATTAAATTATGTGTCCTGATTTTGGATTCTGTACAGAGAGCTTCTTCTAATGGCTCAGTTAGAAAAAAGGTCATATAAATCATATGATCAGTTTTCTGTCTTTAGAATTTGAAAATGTGTATTAAAATGTGCCCAAATTGATAAGCTGCACACAACAGTCTCATCTCTTTACAGTCACAGCTTTTATAGCTCGCTAGAGCCTTCATTAACCTGCATGTCAGGTTCATTTATACTTTATGAATTGCTATAACTCAGCTCTTGTTTTCTACATTTCTCTGAAAGAGAAAACTCTTAGGAGGCCAAACTTACCAATTCTCCCATGTTCACGCTTCTACTTCCTCTGGTCTGTGTTCTATAAATGATTATGAAGCACTGACTTGTTTAAAGTTCCAGTGGGAGAGTGGATTTTAGGATATCTTCTTTAGTATTTTTACCCTCTACACAGTATGCAGGGCCAGCTAAAGGGAATACCAAGTGCAGAGGTATATTTTCATGTTTAATCTATCGATAAAAACATTACTGCTTCCTACAAACTGCTAGATAATCTTCAAGCAACAAGAGAAGCAACTGCTAAGAATCAGGCAAGGCCTGTGCTGGCCCTACTTTGTGGCCTCATTATAAAATTATTGTTGTCTTATTGGTTCTGAGAGTGTGATACTTTTCTTACAAAACATCGCATTCCACTGAACGATAGTTTGGGGGACACCCTCTCATGATAAGGCGTCGTGTCAAGCACTGGGGGCGTGCGGTAGTGCTGCAGTAAGAGCTCCATTTTTCGAGTATCTTACTATGTGCTTACCTCCCTCCAAAGAGGAGGATATGTTTTCCTCACCAGACTCTACAGGATAATAACATCAACAATGACTGAGATTTATGGAGAGCTTATTTGCTTACCACACATTGTTCCCTATAATTTTTATATAAATTAATTTAATTTTCATGATGAGATAATTGCTCTATCATCATCCTTGTTTTACAGGAAAAGAAACTTACGCATGAATAGGTAAAGTAACGACCCCAAATTTGAACCAGGAGATCTGCGCACAGAGCATGCTCTCCCATGTTATCTGTGCTTGAGAGATGAAAAATCTAAGATTCCTAAGGGTCAGCTTCCCAGAGATCTGATGCGATTGTGTGACAGTCGGGGTCCAAGTGGAGCTGTTTCTGATGCTGAGTCTCCTGCTTTTAACCTTTAGGCCGTGCCCTCTCCTTGCTGGTCCCTGCATCCCAAGGACTTCTGGGTGTGGGTGAGACCGACTATAAAGCCTGGCAAGTTGTGGTCATGGCAAAAGAAAGGCACACGCCCAGAACTAAGGAAGGACGGCACAAGCAGTGATTAAATATAACTGTGGCGTCAGACACAGCACCTCAGAGGAGGTGGACCAGGCTTGGAAGGATGAGCAGGATTTCAGTTGGTTTTAGAATGAGCACGAGGGACAATTCAAGCAAAGG